ACATAACTTTGCATTATATCTTATTCAATGTCACAGGAACTTTTGTTGTTCAGTATAGATTTAAAAGTATCACTTAATATCGATTAATGAAACAAAACTTAGTGAAATCATTAATAGATGTAATGGTAGCACTTTAAATCGATTAATGGAACAAAATTTAGTGAAATCATTAATAGATTTGATGGTATCACAATATTGATTAATGAAACTAAACTTAGTGAACTCATTACTAGATGTAATGGTATCACTTAATATCGATTAATGAAACCATATTTAGTGAAATCATTAATAGATTTGACGGTATCACTTGATATCGATTAATGAAACCATATCTAGAGAAATCATTAATAGATTTGATGGTATCACTTGATATCGATTAATGAAACCAAATTTAGTGAAATCATTAATAGATTTGATGGTATCACTTAATATCGATTAGTGAAACCATATTTAGTGGAATCATTAATAGATTTGATTGTATCACTAAATATCGATTCGTGAAACCAAATTTAGTGAAATCATTAATAGATTTGATGGTATCACTTAAAATCGATTAATGAAACAATATTTAGTGAAATCATAATAGATTTGATGGTATCAACTTTAGTGAAATCATTAATAGATTTGGTGGTATCACTTAATATCGATTAATGAAACCATCTTTAGTGAATTCATTAATAGATTTGATGGTATCACAATTTCGATTAATGGAACAAACTGAGTGAAATCATTACTAGATGTAATGGTATCACTTAATATGGATTAATGAAACCATATTTAGTGAAATCATTTATAGATTTGATGGTTTCACTAAATATCAATTTATGAAACCATATTTAGTGAAATCATTAGAAGATTTGATGGTATCACTTAATATCGATTAATAAAACCATATTTAGTGAAATCATTAGTAGATTTGATGGTATCACTTATCCCTTCAAATGAATGACACCGTTTCCTGATCAAATGATTGAATTATTAATTGTTTGTATGGAAATAACTGACAGTGTTCATTCATTCATGTCACAAATCATGAATGTTTTTTATGATATCAATATTGTTTTCGTGCTATCATAATAACAATTTCATCAAATAAATACTAATATAATAAAACATGTATAATAAATGGTATAGGGAACATGTATTCAGTATGGAACGTGTAAATGGCGTGTCAAAGCATGTTAAAAAATATTAAGTGACGTTATGAATGCTGTGCATGATATTAGTAGTTATCTTCATGATATAAATGAATATATACTGATTTAATAAAACAAGTTATTTTAAATGGTATCGTGATCTGTAAATCAGTAATACATGTGAAAATGGCTCATCAGAGCACGGCTTATGTTCGTTTATGTGATATGATTCCATTGAACTTGTACATGAACGAGGCCAGGAAACGTCACGTGATTGTGATTTGCCTATTTGCGGCCTGGATCTGATTTTACATTTATCTGATGTCACACCTTTCACTTTTACGAAGCGATGCTACTTTGTATTTCACCTCAAAATAAACATGTTTCACCCACTTTCTTAAATATCACATATATACATTTATCATATAATGGGTAGGTTTCTCGGCAGGATAAAGCCAACGGATAAAAACGATATCCTTTGGGGTCAATGCGGATAGAGATGCAAATATCAAAGGTCAAGTAGGGACTACTTTCACTGTTTATAAACAAACATGGCGTCGCACTCGTCATTCGGCGATCGAGTCAGAATTAACCATCGGGAATCTGGATTAACTACAGGGATAATTGCTATCATTATCAAAAGAACAGTCTAATATACTGAAAATCTGTGTCTAACTGTGAAGCAGCTTAGGCATTTTATAAGTTTTGGCAACTTTGAACATGTAAATTTCGAAACAATTTGGCGAGGCCTAGCCAAGCGGGATCAGTAGCCACATCTGTGCTTGTAGACCTCTGCGGCTTGAAACCTTCTCCACAAATTAAAATAGTTGGATTTGACGGAAATATGTTTGAATTGTTACCTTGTTTCGTTTTGTCGCTGTGTGTACATCTGAGTACACTTCTTATCGTTATGACAGGACAGACCGACTGTCAACAACGTCTGACCGTGGCTGTGACGTCTCATAGACTAGGGTTAGGGTAGCTTCCCTTTGACAATGATTACTGTTTACAAATAACTGCAGGAATGAGTGATAGTTAAATAGAAATAATTTAATTTCACAACATTTCTTTCAATTTTGAATTACAGTAAAATACCGTAGTGTCCAAGCTGAAGGGACGACCTACATAAATACTTCGAATTATCCGAGGTTCGACACACCCGTGATAAATTAGGAATACGCAGGGACAGAGTTTTTACTTAGAGACAACCATAAGTTCGACACAACGGTGTTTGACTGTACATAAAAAAACCTCGGTATACTTTCTTTTGCCCCTCAGTTTGTATTCTATATGGACCCTAGACAACGAAGTCACTTAAATGAAACAAGAATGCACAATCCAGACACACAAAGTACAGCTATTGGATTTGCCATGTAATGCGACAATAATAATTCACCCTAATTTAAACGATTTTAAGAATAAATGTTGGAACAAAATAAAAACACTTACTTATGTATGTGTTAACAGTAACAGCGCGAGAAAACAAACAAACATTCTTTAGTATGATATAAAAATCAAACATATCGAAAGATAAGCACAAAGTGAAAAAAATCACGTAGATCTACTATTACACACACAACCCAACTCCTCTAAACTAAACCAAGCAAACTACACGAAAACAAAAACATATAAAAAAGCAATCCGAAAACAATCCCCGCAATTGACATGAACAATAACCTACAAAACACGATAAATCGTTTTCCTGTAAAAAACAACCTTCATGGCGAGTCTTGTTCATCTTTTCGTCCGGTATGTTTACCAGGTTAATCCATTCCTATCACAAAAGGCATGTGTATTACTGGTTTTAATGACGTGTGGGGAAAAAGCCAACGTGACGTAGGTCGGCCATGTTGTTGGCATCAGGAGGATGCCCTGATGCTGAGAAAACAAGGGCCATTATCAGGTCGAAACAAGGATTCAATAAAGAAACACGAAAAACCTGTAAAGGCTATTTCTGGAGTCCCAGAGATATTTCTCACTCAGGGTTGTTGGGTGTTAGGAAGGGAAGCCGCTTCAGGAGACCCGGATGTAGTGTCCCGTTCGGGTTTCTATTTCGGAAAGATTGAGAAGGCAATGGGGACGATTACATTTACGACCGTAGAAGTTATTAACTGGTATTCTTCGTCGTGATAGTCTGTGGCAAACAATAGATTAAAACATGTGGTTTAAGTAAAAATAACTTTTTCAAAAGGCTTCCTAGTTGATTACACAGCAGGTGATATGGTGGCTTCCCCGCTGTTCGATCAGTATTTGAGCAACGGCCCCAAAAGACATATTTGCACGTGCTCGAGTTAGTACATGCCACGTGGAAAAAATAACGTTTGGTTGAATTTGCAAAAAGCCAAATCATCTTGACTATTATATCGAAAGCGGTTAAGGACCTTTCACGTCAAAATTATATATAGAGGATTCATCACGAGTGTTTTTCAATATGGGAAATATCAACCGAGTCTTAGTTAATCGGTATTTGCCGAGCCTTTGGCGAGGCAAATACCGATTAACGGGACGAGGTTGATATTTCCCATATTAAAAAACACGAGTGATGAATTCTATTTATCATTTTCACATTGTTGCTTCCAAATTAAGGAATAATTGCATTAAACATTAACATCAGCAACTTGTCGAAATCTTACGTATAGATCGTGCGTAGTGATACATGTTTTCCATAGCCATGTAAACCAAAATAAACAATTCGCTGAGAAAAAAAGTTCCTCGGATTATTTTAAACAAAATACTTCTACAGACTTTTGCAGAATAATTGAAACTTTAATAACGGTAACAACAACGATTCTGTGTAATCTGATTATATCTCTGGTGTAACTTCACTTATAATATATAGTTTCAAATCAAACCGCTCGCTCTTCCGGTTATCTAATTTGCATATCTAATTTGCATACTTATGTCATTGGGGTATGACATACATGTTTTTATGTCATAAGCTTATGTCATGGATAAATGCTTAAGTTAAATGATAAACTTTCTTATTACGTTTTTGAGTTTTACTGTAAATGGTTATATTGTCAATACATTCCACTATAGTTTACGATCATTTATCATTTAACTTAAGCATTTATCCATGACATAAGCTTATGACATAAAAACATGTCATACCAAAAGAGGTTAAAAGATGGTACTTGTTGTTACCCTGTCTGGCGCTCGGCATTAAGGGGCTAAAACAAGGACTGGTCGGCTCGGAGTCAGTATACTGTGTCTGAGTGGGGTATTCATGTTAAACTGCGGCATTGTATCTCAGTGAGCTAGCACTATAAATCGGCATCAGTCCGGACTAGTACAAGCAGCCACATACACACACATACACGTGCATGTATGTCGCTATGTAAGTGCAATAATCCTGGACGCGACGTTAAACCCTATTTCACCTCACCTCTTTATGAGTGAGTTCGGTTTTCCGTCGCTTTTAACAACAATCCAGCAATATCACGGCGGGAGACACCAGAAGTGTGTCTCGCACATATAACAAATTTTGGGAATCGAACCGCTTTCGGCGTGAGGCGCCGGTGACTTTCACCACTAGGCTACCCTAACGCGTCCCATCCTAATAGTGAATGAGTTAAAATTTAACGTCGCCTCGGCATTATTTCAGCCATATAGCGAGCTCATCCTAATACGATACAGAGAAAAACTACACGTAGGCACAGGATAAATATTATTTCAAGGATGGAATTAAAAACCAGGTTTACCCAAAGCATTGAAGCTAATATTATATCAAGCTGAAGCGATCTAAAAAACGGACAAGTTCAAAGGAAAGCATTGCTTAAACACATTCTGAATAAAAAGCAGTGGGTGTAGGAAAAAAGAGGTACAATTCACCTGACGCAGAGAAAGAGGATGATGAACACTTACAGGTAGAAAGCCATTCTTTGATTGGAACTGTTGGAAACAATGGTATTTTAGAATTCAAGAATATTTGGTTTGTACAACCGCAAGAGTTCCATGACTCCCATCTTGCTGAAATACAAATTCTACAAATTTCATACATTTTCTCCTGCACTGTGCGAATATATTGCTTGTGGAACAAGCGCATTCCCAAAATAGTTATGGTATAAAAATAGATTATGAAACAATTGCAGCGCACATACAACCAGGAACCAGTATATATTGTAAATATTTATGCAAGACTGATCAAGCTGGTGTGTTGCCAAGACGAAAAGGATGATTTTGAAACAAACAGGTGTTTACACATTTTAAATGTGCACGAACGGTACGTTTCTTTTGAAGATATAAAGGCTAATGTTTTTTAAAGTTTGAAGTGCAAAAAACAAAAGGAAGAAAATCGTGGGTTGTATTGGAGATTTGAAATATCATTCCAGGTAAAATTATATCAACATTGGCAAATATAATATTATCTTCATAACTCATATCAAGACGGACGGTGTTGTCTGGGGAGCAAGCCTTTTCTGAGAATAGTTATGACGTGACAAATGGTTGAGGTTCGAAGACGGAATAAATAATTCATAACGAAACAAAAACCATGTCGATTCAAGTAAACATTATATTAAAGGAGCGATACCAAACACGATACAAAGGAGCCTTTACTAAACTTTGCTTTACAACCTGGAGTTTAATAACAGCATCAAGGACTATCAAATACCTATATCAATTAATACGTATTAATACATATATTGTATACACTTGCTCCTCCACTATGGTCGATCATAGACACTCGATCCACTTGTCTCGAAGATCGGCTTACTCGACACACTGTATGACACAGTGTGATGAGCATTCACTACATCGGCCACGATCAAAACTGTATTGAGAGTGAGCGAGTATTGTTTTACGCCGCGTTTAGCAATATTCCAGCAAGATCACGGCGGAGGACATCAGAAATGGGCTTCACACATTGTACCTATGTTGGGAATCGAACCCAGGTCTTCGGCGTGACGAGTGAACGATTTAACCACAAGGCTCCCCCACCGCCGCTGTATTAAGATTTGTAGTTGTTAATATATAGGAAAATAAAGCTTTCACAACGTTCCATTACATTCTTAGGAAGTCGACGAGCTCGAAACAAACGACTGCCCATCTGGAAGGTTTTTGTCTGCAGTACTATAACGGTACTGCTGCGTTAAGAGAACAGGTATTCGTGTAAGCAGATCCCAGTATCAATATTTTGCATTCAGACTTGAAACGTAGACAAACAAAATTATCTTTATCAAAGTACATGTACATTGTTTGAAAACATACTTCCTCAAATGTCAGAACTGCAAGATCATATACATATTTATTTTGACATTTCATTTTAGGATTCATAAAGGTGTAGACGGTGTCCACGTGGACACTGATCACGTGTACAATTGCGTCGTCGTTGATGCGAAGGTTTACACAATAACCAATCAGCTTGAGGGGACAAGAATGCAGTAACGGACATCACCACGAAGCAGCAAACATTGGCTTCAAATGGAGCAAATGTTGATATCAGAACGTGATTTGTCACTCATATAATCTCTAGTTAAGGCGAAGGAGTCGTTGTGACAAATCGGGCTTAATGTGATAAGTCTTCAAGTAAGGTAACTCGCTTTCTAACACATGTGGTTGAGATACAAATTTGAGGTAACTGGTATTACAGTAAACAACGGTTATAACGAACACGCTTATAACGAACTGACGGATATAACTTTTTAGTCCCGACTATTTGCTGCATATATGCTTATAACGAATTACGGTTATAACGAACTAAAATTAGTAGTCCCTTTGAGTTCGTTATAACGGTAGTTTACTGTAACTATATGTGTGAGATCGAATTCCAGCCCCGCGAATGGCTTCTCAATGGTGATGACCTGAGGTCAGATTATGGAGGACTTTCCTGATTCAAATTCGTTGATAAGTTTCTAATGTTTCAGGCGAAGTTAGCTACGTCTGTGTTGTTACCTACGTTATAGTGTATAATAAATGTTGTTTGGTCTTATCCAGTGTGCATCGTCATCATCGATTTGCCAATCCAGAGATTCTTCCACAGAACCGTTTTGTCACACTAGGTATGGCGAATGAGCAGATGCCGTCACTCATGACAGCGGTATTGTGTATTAATGTGTCACTGAGATCATGAGAATAGACAAAATATTCATCGATTCGATGCTAAAATGGTGCGATTTTTAGGTTGTATAAGTAAGAGATTACCGCACTCATGCCTGTCACATATCATTTATCTTACGAGTTGTTGCAAAAAGTATCTGACTGCTTTCGCTCGTTCGATACGTTTTGACACAACTCGTTGTAAGATTAACTGTTTCTGATAGATACTCAAGCAGGAACCAGGTACTATGCACTTGTAAATCATACCTCAATATAAACTTCAATAATAAACTGTTATGAATTGTTTGCTGTACCAAAGAAGGCGAAACTCGTTAAATTATATCCTAAAATCGACTTTGAGCTAACTCACCTTGACTTTAGATGGTAGAGGAAGATTCATGAATCCGAGAAGTGACTTCTTCCGAAATGGGAAGCCATTCAGTTTGTCCAAGCCAATCGCAATTGAGTCCTTCCTGACATGCGCAGCGAGGGCGTTGCTGTACGATGCCCCAGTATCGTTAGATTCCGTGGACCCTCTTCTTCCCTCTCTTTCTCCTCGTATTTCCTCAGGGTGCGGCTCATCTACGGACATCCTTACCCGTTTAGGGTACACCCCATTCCGTCTGCTGTTCGGCTTGGCTAGCTTGCTCCGTCTGAGACCATACTCTGGTCCTTCATCTTCCACGTGCTCCTAGGGAAACACAGGACCATTTGATGACAATGTTCGTTGATAGTTCCTTTACTTCACGTACTATGGGTTAAGTGTTTCTGTGTTTGCACTTGTTTATGTCGATGTGATACATATATCGCTTAGCTAACAATATTTATTGGGCTTCTATTTGTTTTAACGGTGTTTAATTGGTGTCGTAACCTATGACCTTGTATGTTTGATGTGATATTGATCTATCATGATGTATATGTACATATCACTGTGTAATCAGATTTACCTTCGGGGTACTTTAAATATTCGTGTGAATATATATGCAAAGCTGTTCGACCCGTGAATATCCGGGGTAGAAGAAGTCACCAACCCATGCTTGCCATTAGAGGTGACCACGCCTCGCCATGCAACATTCGACTACACTTAGCTATGTTCCAAACCCATGAAGATCCGGGATAGAATAGGTCTTCAGCAACCCACGCTTGTCGTAAAAGGCGACAATGCTTTACGTAAGAGGCGACTAACGGGATCGGGTGGTCAGGCTCGCTGACTTGGTTGATGCGTATCATCGTAACGCAATTGCGTCGATCGATGCTCATGATGACAAGCACTGGATTGTCTGGTCCAGGCTCGATTATTAACAGACCGCTGCTATATAGCTGGAATATTGCTGGGTGCGGCGTTAAACAACAAACAAACAAACAAACAAACAAAGCATAACTATTCTACATATACGCCTGATAAAAGTGAAGTTCAACCCTTCTGTATTCACATGTGTCCGACATTCCGGGCTTCTTGTGTAAATATCTTAATATGAATCGATACCTGATTAAAAGTGGGTAAAAGAACACTGCATGTTCCTCCAGATGGTCGCAAAAACAGGTTCACATGATGCAAGGAAGCAGTTATTGAGGCGAGGTGAGGTGAAATGTGGTTTAACGTCGCGTCCACCATTATTGCACTTATATAGCGCGCGCGCGTGTGTGTGTGTGTGTGCGTGCGTGCTTGCGTGCGTGCGTGCGTGTGTGTGTGTCTTCCTCTACTCGAACTCTGATATTTACCTGTTATTTTCGAACTACGGGGATTCAAAAAGATTTACCTCAGGAGAAGTTTGACCACTGTCAGCTCCATCAGAAGATATAGGACTTGGGCAGTTTACAACGCCATGCCGACGGCGATGATGTGGCGGGATGTTACCGAGGTAGTTCTCTTCGATCTCCTCGTCGGAGAGGCACTCATACATCCGGGGGTTGTCGCTGACGTCTACGCCATTGCCGATGTTGGAGGAGGTGGACTGGCGTCTGTCTTTTTCCGGGGATTCTGACAGAGGGGGTGATGGAGGCAGGTCGGAGAGGGGAGGGGATGGGGGCAGGTCGGAGAGCGGAGGGGATGGGTAGGGTCGCGGGTCGCCATCATGCTCAATGTCAACCTCGACAGTCAGCTGGAGGTCGGACATGGAACTTCCGGTGGGGGTTGATGGGAGTTCCGGAAGTGATGCACCCTGGGGTGCAGTCTTGTCGTTGGTCATCGCTCCGTTTCAACCCTGAAATACATAATGGTAATCTTTGATTAAGAATGATTCAACGTTGAAAATTAATTTCCTCCGATCCAGAAGTAGGAATATGAAGTGTTCTATCCCTGAAAACATCTTATATCAGAATGAAAGGCGAAATTTCAGTTACGAAAACTAGCAATACCAAATCAGTGGCGCAAAAACGGGTAAGCAAGTGTATGAAATCCATTTTTGATAAATATTGGAAAACAATTCAGAATTGCGACACATAACACATACTCCAAGGCAGGAGCAACATCATTCACGGGTAATAGCTGTGCATTCACAGTTAACCCCCCGCCACAATAGAGAAGGTTCGCAGTAACTGCATAACGAGCCAAGATATTCTGAAGGTTGATAGCTTTCGTATTAATGTCAACTTTTAACGTTTCAGTTATGTCCAGTGTTCCCTTTAAAGTCGTTTTTAAGAGGCGTTCACGACCGACATGTTCATGTTGCCGACTTCTGAGCAATGTCAGTTAGTTAAGGTAATTAAAAAAAATAAAAGGGCGCGAACCACTTAAATCTTAAGACGAAGCCATTGGGGAGATTCCAGAACAAGGCTGATGTTGCTTGCAGTAATGCTGGGCAAGGTTTATATATGTTGAATTATGTGTTTGACTTAGGCGTGAGAGAGTAATTTTCAGTATTGATAAACAATTTTTCAGTATAATCATGGCGTCATCTTAGTGTGGGATGAAAACATAACGCCTAAAGTGACTTTTACCACATTAGTGAAACCATGATAACGGGTATTGTGCTGACAACCACGGATCTAGATGTACGTGTTAAGTGAAAATTATGAAAAATATGTCCTTTCACGGTTATGCAATCCCCTCTTGGACGGAGGGTCTGTGGGATAGCCTAGTGGTTAAAGCGTTCGCTCGTCACGCCGAAGACCCGGGTTCGATTCCCGACATGGGTACAATGGGTGAAGCCCATTTCGGGTGACCCCCGCCGTGATCTTGCTGGAATATTGCCAAAAGCTGCGTAAAACCATACTCACTCACTCACTCTCTGTGACGGTCTGTACTCACTTATGCGTCAATGACCAGTGACGTCAAGCAATGGCTGGCCTCGGCAATGCCTCGTTATCATTACAAAAATTAAAATATATTTTCGCTTATGTATGTACTTACTAAATCATAATAATGACCATCATTGGAAATATATTGTTCAACTAGAGGTAATAATTGAATATACTTCGATTTTATAAAAATAAAACAAGAAGAAATACATTCCAGCATAATGTCACCGTTTGTCTACATGCATAATTGTATATAAATTTAACACCCGACGATCCGGGGTAGAATAGGTCTTAAGCAACTCATGCTTGTCGTTAGAGGCGACTAACGGGATCGGGTGGTGAGGCTCGCTGACTTGGTTGATGCATATCATTGTATCCCAATTGCGTGGATTGTTAGTCAAGACTCGACTACTTACAGACCGCCGTCTGTGTAATGCTAAGCGCGTCGTTAAACAACAAACCAACTATATATAAAGTTAAACAGAATAATTTCAGGAATTTATGAATGGAATGGAATCGAAGAATACTATCGTTCACTCAATCTAAATAAAGATAACAGAACAAAAAGACTAAATAATATTTAAATAAAATAAAATAAATTATATCGAAATAACATGTCATCAACTTAAACAATATTATCAGAAAAAACTATAAATACGTACAAAAGAGTGTCATTTGATTTTTCTTCCTGAACTTTCACCATATCCCTTACATCTAGAAATACACACCAAACACAACCAACTGAATATTGACAGCCATCCACACTTATTTCAAACAACGTTTAGCCAAGGCACAGCGAAATCGTTTCGTCGTATGTTATGTTGAAGGTGTTTCGACAAGACGTATGAAAATGTCATTTTCCCTTTGGAAAGAAATGCATTAACGGTTAACACAATTTGACCTTCTAAGTCCATGTTTTCACAATACATAATTTAAATAGCCTGCAGCCGTCTTAAGCCTTACATAGAAGTCAGCGTTTCTTTGACCTGCGTTATGGGTAGGAGTATACTAAGGGCCTGCTGTTTCAGAGACTCATTACCCTTGAGTGCGTTCAATAATGGCCTCTTAAGCCTCTGTTTGTTTAAATAAAGGGGGACTACGCTCGAGCCAATTATTAGTCCGAGCAAGTCTTTCGAAAATCACTCAGGTTATCTGCTCGATTTTTCTGATGTGTATCAGACTAATTTCCCCAAGAACACAGAGACAATACGGCTGTTGATGTTGGCACTCTTTTGCAAACGGCCCTAGTTCACCTCCACTGTACGACGAGTCTCGGGGTTGTTTATATTTGTACCATGTATTATTGGATGATTTGTTGTCGAAGTATTCTTGTCTAAGTTACATGTACTCATTTTAATGATAAATGGGTTTGCAAAGTGTTATTTCCGCCAGTATGCACTCAATATAGTGAGACTGATGTTGCAAATTTTAGATAAGGAACAAAACAAGAAAACATAAACAAATAATGAATTGTCATTTGCTGTGAACATATGTGTTTTGCTATATTCCATGAGGAAATTAACATCGTTTGCACATCCGTGTATATATACTCTTGACATGGCTTATAGAACGTTATTCAAAATGTTTGAGTTTTTAAAAAAATATAAGCAAAATCGCAAGTGAAATAGCTGTAGTTGCGTTGAAATTATCAACATTCTTGGAGAGAGCAGCAGATGATTATATGTGACGTATGTTTTTTGTGAACTTCTTTACTTTGGAATATGCTACTCATTTTACAACCATGCGTGTATTATTTTGTTTATCAGTGCTCAATTTTGAATAAAGTAAGGATTGGAGTATGTGATACTGAGATAACATTCTTGGAAAATGATATACAGACAATGTACAAAAGATGTAAAATTACTTAATTTCAGTATAAGTTTATTCATCGCATCGTGTATTCAAAGAAAGAACTGTTAAAAATGAACATTCTTGATGAAAATTGATATACAGACAATGTACAAAAGATGTAAAATTACTTAATTTCAGTATAAGTTTATTCATCGCATCGTGTATACAAAGAAAGAACTGTTAAAAATGAACATTCTTGATGATGATCTATGCTCATTCTGTGAAACTAATACTGAACCCTTTCTTCGTGTATATTGGTATTGCAGGAATGTTAAAGAGTTTTGAACCAAAGTAGAATGTTTTCTGAGTGCAAAACTTACAAAGGTTTTTACATTTATGTGATGCTTACATATAATGGTTATGTTATTTGAGGCCTTGTCAGTGGGAACAGCTATAAACTTTCATGTAGGACAGCCAGACTTTGGATGACAGCTGGCTGGGGCAGAATGTTTATTCCCAATCCCGTCCCTCTTTTTAAGTTTGTGGATTATACAAATGACAACATCACGCACCGACTTGAGCCAATCTGAAAGACATTCAACAGGTTCATCTTCTCTTTTGGCCCATTTATTTACATATTCTTCGACGGCGTCCATAATGATTTTATGATTGTGATCCTAGTTGACAGGAGATTGCTCACGGTATTTTGGTCCATGTTTGAATAACTGACGAAGATTGAAGAAGTAAGTCTCCTGTGATTATATGACCTTCAGGTAACGAAAATATCATGACGAGTTGGCACCTTACAAGAATTATGAAAGGTGATTTTTTTTTGGGTGAGACGATTTAATCTATTGTCATATCGCTGTGACGCGCCATCTGACTCTTAGCATGGTCACCCAAAAGTGCAATTGCAGCACGTCAATTGTGACGAGTACGTGACGTTAGAAAATAAAATAGTGAGATCGGGCAACCCAACTTGTATCCGTCTTTATAGCTTGATTCAGATAGCTAGATTCAGACAGCTAGATTCAGAAAGCTAGATTCAGACAGCAAGATTCAGACAGCTAGATTTATTTACGAGTTATGATACCATATGTTCTTCACAACATATCAATAGTGTCTCCATTTCATAGTTTACACGAGACTAATTGTGAACACGTGACAATATTTGTTTACTTTTAGTCATACGTAAGTGAATGCATCCCGTTGATGTTACTAATTGTGTACTGGATATTATCAGGCTAATTTAAAAGATGAGTATAAATCCTGATTAACATTAATCCATCATCGAGCCACAAGAGATTGATTCAAACAAGTCTAGCAGTTAATGGCAATCCCACTGAACAGAGACAATGTTTCAGTTTAATTAATTGCAACGCAATAGCCTAGATTGGAAAGGACATCCGGCTTCAAGATTAGTCGCTGTTAGAGTGAGTGAGTTGGGTTTAACGCCGCCTTTAACAGTATTCCAGTTTTATCACGGCGTGTCAGCTTAATGTGGGAGGAAAGCCCGAAGTGATGCAGGTCTCTGACGTTTACCACTTCGGTGAAACCCACGAGCACGGGTTTGGTGCTGACAAATCCAGAAACATAACCGGGGCGAACCGGGATTCGAATCCACAATCATAGGTTTGTGGCGTGCCCAAGGGACGCAACTCTGCACAGCGAATCGCGGCGCCTTAGACGACTGGGCCACCCGTGCCCCCTAGTCGCTGTTTGAGGTTTAGATTTGAGAGTAAAACATATGTAAAGAAACTGTTAAATGTTTTTTGTTTTCTATTTTTCTTTTCTTTTCTTTTCATTTCACAGATGCAGGTCTAAGACGATTACCACTTGGGTGAAACCGACGAGCACAGGTATGGTGCTGACAAACCTAAAAACATAATCGGGGCGAACCGGGATTCGAACCCACGATGGTATGGCTTTAGTAAATAGAAGGGGCGTCACTCCGTACAGCCAATCTCAAACACAGTTTAAAAGGGGTAGGGAGTCCATAGACGATGACCCAAGGTCAGGCAGGCCTTCAGATTCCACTCAACCGGAAACCATTGCTGCTATAGAAAGAAGAATTGTGTCTGACCGACGAGTGAAAATATCTGAACTTTCTAGAGAATTCCAAATATCAGTTGGAACTGTTGTAACCATTATTCATGAGCATCTTGGTATGTCC